AATGAGAAAGCTTCAGTTTCAGCTCCCTCCTACCCCTGCATCAGCCCAATACAAATATACTACCATTCTTCCACCTTTCCTCCTCCACCCCCCTTCCCATCTCCTCTTCTGTGTCTGCAGTGGCCTTCACACCACCCCAATCCCATCCTATTCCAAAGGTCTTCTTTTCCTGCAGACAACATTGACTTTCCCTGTGGGAGGGAGTGCTAAGAAAGCACTTCGTTTTTAACTTTGTTATAACACTCTTCAACTTTTGCCCTTACGTTTTGCCTATTTCCTGTATTTATTCTTACGAATTTTAAATTATTTGAGGATTGAAACAAAAATCTTTTAAATCTCTGTATTCACTCAAGCGCAATGTACTGGGGAAAAAATGGATAGATGTTGAATTTTCAAATTGAATATCTACTTAAAGAATTTTGGTGAAACGGAAGGGAAAGAAGGTTTTAAATATTTTTGATTTTAAAAACACTTTCCATTTGCAGTTTGTTTCCTTACATATTTGATTTTCTGAAGAATGCCCTTAGCTGAGAATGCCCTTAGCCCAAATTAAGTGGATTGTGTAATTCTATTCATATTCAGATTCCTTCAGGCTATTTTGACACAACTTACTTAGGAAGGCATCTGACTGCACATTGCCTAAGTCTACTGCCTCCCACTAGGAATAAAATCATGTTCTTACACTGAACAGCTTGCTCTAAGAAAACAATGGCAAAATTCCAGACCTTCATTTTATTGGAATTTTAATACCCTTACAGCAAGCAGCTTCCATAAAATAATCTAATTAAAGCAGATATATGAATGTGTCTGTGTCTCCATAAAGCAGATTCAGTTGGGCTTTTATTATTAATGCTTAAAAGTCTCCAATGGCTGTATACATTTGTACCAGCCAATGTTTTCCTTGAAGATAATTTTTCAAGGATCTTTTATTGTGTTATATAATCTTGTCATTTTTGTTGCCTTTGAAAAATATGTGGTTAATGAGTGCTTTTAAGTTTCAAAAATGTTATTTTTTAGTATTTTGTTAATAATAGGATTATAAAATATAAAATATATTTTAATAAACTTAATTATTATACATAAAGACAACTTTGATGTTTTTCCAATTCCAAATTATGCACTATTTTTTTTCCAAAAATAGTGTATATGATGGAGACAAAATATATCCTATGTAGTATGACTTGACAATCAAGTATATGACAGAGTGTAGACTTAAATTTAACTACATATTATGAGTCTATGAACAGATAATATTGTTCTTGTGAAGTTATGTTTTGAATTTCCTTAATTCATGCTTTAAAATTCCAGGCTCCTCTTCTTTCCTTTTTCCCCCACCTCCTTACACACATAGGTTGTGATTGGGGTAAAAATCAGTTGTCTCTATGTGCATGTGGGCCTATTTTTCAACTCTCATATCTATTCCTTTGATCTGTTTGTCTTAATGCCACCATCTTACCATCCAATTATTGTAATTAATGTAGCTTTACTAATGAGACTAAAACACAAATATTATTTAGTCTTTCAATATGTTTCTTTTTTTTCAAAGTTGTTTTGCCTATTCAGGATTATTTGTGCTTCCATATGATATTTAGAATCAGCTTGTCAAACTCTTTAAGAAAAACCTGCTAGGATTTTGATTTAGATTATCTTGAAACTCCGTCAATTTGGGGTGCACTAATGTCTTACCAATATTGATTCTATATATTTATATATGTATATATCTATAGATATTCATTAATTTAGGTATCCTTCAATATCTCTCCCCAAAGTTGATATATAATTTTCTCTTAATTTTGCTCCATAATTTTAGTTTTTTAGTTCATCTGTTGTAGATAATTTAAACTCATGCACATAATTCTCTGCCATTGATAATCTTTAAGGATGATCAACTCTACTAATTGCTGAAATGCAGTTGGTGTACTCTCATAGAAAGGACAAAAAGGACAGTGTGGCTCTTAAAATATTGAAATAATTTCTTATCAGTTGACAAACTCTCTGAAGAATACTTCTTTCCTCTGAACTCTGACCCCTCCCTAGGAGTTCTAGAACCAAACTACAGTTTGCCTGCTATAGTTAATTTCTGATGACCTGTAGCAGTTTGCTCCAAGACAAAAGCAGTCTCTTCTGATTAATGGATGCATTTGCCATGAGCATTTTTTTCCTAAGTTTTATATTAGCCCGCCCTCCTAAGTCTTAACATTGGAAATTTGGACCATTTCTGTTACCTTGGAAGTGCTACCCCTGGTGCCACACACATTGTGCAGAAGGAGGCCCCCTCTTCACTTTTCTCTGTTTCCTCATAGAATTACAGGAAATGGCACATTGCTTGTTATACCATAATCTACAGGAGCAGCTGTGCCTGTCTTGGTTCAAGTCTAGGAGCTTATGAACCCTCTAGCTACCTGCTCCTTCATGAAGACTTCTTAATCTTCCAACATTTATAGGGTTAACTATAGCTTCTTTTCCAGGATAGATTTGTAGACTTTCAAGCTTGGTTTGCTACTGTCCAAATCCATTTCCTAGTATTTACCTGTGGATTATGATATTTTAGCCCCAAATTCAACAAGTTCTTTCTGTGATTAGTCCACCCATATTTTCCAATGATTCTCAGTCATAATCATTTGCTTCCTTTGTGCTTAGCCTCTTTCCTCTGGAAACAGACTCACTCACACTTAGAATTTATCCTCTGGAATCCAGCATTTTGCCTGGCTATCCAAATTTTTTCCTCCCTCCAAACATGGGCTTATTTTAGAATATTCCACATTGGCCATTTGGAATATACAGATTTTATATTATAAACATTCCTTGCTGATTTTAATAAGATGTTTTTTAAAGTAATATTTCCACCATATTATTGTATTTATCTTTGAAATCTTTTATCCAACTTGTAATTTTTTTTTAAATTTATTTTTTAGCTATAGGTGGACACAATATCTTCATTTTATTTTTATGTGGTGTTGAGGATCGAAACCAGTGCCTCACGCATGGTAGGCCAGCGCTCTACCTCTGAGCCACAACCCCAGCCCCCAACTTGTAATTTTAATGAATTGAATCATTTACTACTAATTGACTATACTGCTAAATGAATAAAGTAGCTGTGGATAGCTGATTTTCAGGGCTGCATGTTTAGATTTTCTAAAGCTTGGCAATTTATTTTCTAATATTATGAGTTCCTAAATATTCTTTGATTGCTTTGTGATTAAAAATTAGCTCATTCTCAGAATTGATGAGACCAGGAATAACGTGCTCTGAATACTTAGAGGCTCCCAAGTATGCCAGAGCACTAGGGCCACTCTGCCAGCAGACTTCAAAGGCATACATACTGTGCCTGTGCCAAGTTTCAAAAGTGACATGGTCATTTGAAGCCTACAGTTCATTTGACATTGGGCTGTATTCACACAGAGTTTGTGTTGTGTGCATAACACTACAGGTGATCTTTTGGACTGATTTGACACCTCTAATCAGATCTTTTAAGTATTATTCTGTGGAAACACCTTTGATGTGTTCCGAGGAAAGCATGCCAGTTAGTGATAAAGGGAGCCAGAACATTTACTGACACTTAACAGAATGAAAAGAGAAGCAAAATACAATTTTGGTGGAGCCATTACTTCTTTAAAAATTAGATGGTCCTTTCAAATAATAGGTTTTAAGATTTTGAGCTTCCTGAAAGAAGTTATTTTATCATTTTTATTTTTTTTAGGGATACAAAATCACCAATTTCTTTTCATCTGTAGGTGTATCCCAATCCTCAGTAAAATGAAGATTTTATAATGTCTTGAGTTTTCTGTTAATACTATGAAGAACTTATAGTTTTCCTTGTCAGTTATTCTATTCATCTTTACCTCACATATTCTTAGGACTTCTTCTTAACAGTGTATATATTCTCAGACTTTCTTTTCCAGTAAGATAGTAGATTGAGTTTTTTCTTTAGAAAATAATGATACCTAGAGGTGCTTTTATTTTAATAAGAATCTTTAGGATCCAGAAATGAGGAGGGAGTTGAAGATCAAGGAATCTCTCCTGAGCCATTCCTTTATAATATTTTATTTTTACACATGTAGGACACAGTCCTGAGGAAATGAGGAAAGGGAGTGCTCCAACCTCAGAGAAAGGCATGGCTTTCAGAGTTTAAATCCCTTTAGAGGACAGTAACTCCAAAGAAAGAGAAAGTCATGCGCGAGAAATGAACACTTCGACTGGGACTTGCTGGATTGATAGCCACTTTGTTAGTATTTCTGTAGTCCTGGTGGCCTTAGTCACTGGAATTTCCAAAAGAAGAAAACTCAATATTATATTGAAAGAACATACTCTCAACACAGATGACCTCAGCAGAAGGGTAGAGGAGGAGAGGAAAATTCTAAGAAGGACAAACATATAAAAATACACAAAAGAAGCTGAAGTCACAACAAACAAGAAAAACAAGAGTTAGAAAATTGAAGATGATAAGGGTTGGGATTGTGGCTCAGCAGTAGAACATTTGCCTAGCATGGGCGGGACCCGGGTTTGAGCCTCAGTACCACATAAAAATAAAGGCATTGTATTGTGTCCATCTACAACTAAAAAATAAATGTTAAAAAAAAGAGTTTTAAAAACTGATCTTTAAAAAAAATTTAAGATGATAGAAAAATAATCTGTTATATAACTAGTATACATTTATAGATACATATATATGTATGTATATGTGTGTATATATATATATATATATATATATATATATATGATTTAAGATGATATTGAAATCCCAAGAGCTACGCTCTGCATTAGTCAATGCTATTAATACTAGCTATAATATCGAACACCTGCCACACCTCAGCAATTTAATGCAACAAGGATATTTATCAGTCATAACAGAGCCTGAAAGAGGATGTACAGTGGTGGTCTGCATTTGTTAAATATGGTTTGCTGAATAGGGTTCCTGGCTCCCTCAATCTGTGGTGTAACCATTTTCTAAGGTGTCTTCATAGCATACAGCCAGTATCAAGCAGGGAAAGAGCGACAGAATGTCTGAGAAGCCTGAAGGAGGGATACAGCACATCTCCCCATATCGTATTTGCCAACGCATCATTGCACACATTATCAGCCAAACTGCCAAAGAAACAGAAATAGGAGGAGTGAGCATCTGGGCATCTCTACCTACATACCCCAATTTGAAGCAACTCTAATTAGGAACTGTAAAAATAAAGAGACAAAAGACATTCCTTCTTTTAGTTCATATAAATAGAGACAGATTTCCTGCTTTGTTCAGGCACTGTTCTACTTGCTAAAGATACAGGAAATTGACAAAAACTCCAAAGTTCCCTACCACTGTGGAATGCCCAAATCCTGCCCGAGGAGACACACAATAAGCTCATGAATAAAGGATTCCGGAGAGAGCTGTCAGGTGCCATAAAAATGAAACACTAGGAATAGACGAGAGGAGAGCATTGCTGTAACATCCAGGAAAGTCCTCCCACCAGCCCTCGCCTTCTGGGAGAGAGGATTCAAGTGTCTTGTTGGTAAATTCAACATCTATTTGTTTTTATTTCCCATTTCTTGAACGATCAGCAGCATTTGGATCTGTTGCTTATTCCCTCATTAAAAAAAAAAAAAAAAAACCTACCTCACTTGGTTTTCAGGGCACCACCTTTTGCTATGCTTTACCTTTCTCACGAGGTCAGTTTCCTGTTGCTGCTCTAATAAAATACAACAAGCTCAGTGGCTTAAAATCACACATATTTATTGTCTCCAAATTCCAAAGGTTAGAAATCCAAAGTGAGCTAGGCTCAAGGTGTCAGAAGGGCTGCCTTCCTTCCTGGACGCTCAAGAAGAGAGTTCCTTTCTTATCTTTTCCAGCATCTAGAACATTCTGGCATGCCTTGAACTGTGGCCACCTTTTTTCACCTCCACAGCCAGGAATTTTGCTTTGGATCATTCTTCGGGAGTCACTTTCCCCACTGACTTCTTCTGTCTCCTTATTCCACATTTTAGGACCTTTGGGGTGACATTGGGCCCATCCAGATACTCCAGAATAACCTTCTCATCTCAAGATACTTAACTTAGTCACACCTACAAACTCCCTTTTGCCATGGAAGGTCAAGAATCTTTGGTGTCCAGGGACTAGGAAGAGTATAGGCAGGGATCATTATTCACTGACTGCTTTTCCCCTCAGTTTTCTTAGTTGTTTCCTCCTTATATTTCTGATATTTAAATGCAGAGTGTCAAGGCACTGTGGAAACTGCTAACATATTGAACTATTTTTCTATTAATTGATAAGTAGCCTTAACATTAACCTTTCCAGTAACTCTAAGCCCCAGACATTTCCACCTCCTGTCCTGGGTCTTGACCACCCCAAGGTCTTTACATCCCTACTCCTTGCCTTCTCTGCAGTCATCACCTGGTCCAGGCCACCATGAGCTCTCACATGTTGTCTCAAAACCTTCTGAGAAGTCTCCCTTGTCTCAAAAATAATGCTCAAAATTTAATCCTACCATGTTTTCCTCTTATTCAACCTCGTTTTGGCCACCTGTCTTGCTCTTCCCTGTTTCAAATAACATGTACCATATTCATGTTTCCTGTTGTTCTCAGGAGTCAGGTCCCTTCACTTCCCTTTCTAGTCACCTTCCAGCCATACTGGTCTCCAAATTATTCTAAATAAAAGCCAGCATACTCTTTGCTTCTGGAAGATTCCTTTGTGATATTTATATTTGCTATTTCCTGCACCTAGAACATTCTTCCTATGGATAGCCACTTGACTTGATCCATCACTTACTTTAACTATTTACTTAATTCTTACCTTATTATAGATCCTTTCCTTTACTGTTTCAAAGAGCACTTACCATAGTTTTTAGTTTTCTTCCTCCTGTTTTATATTTCCCCTGAGCATTTTTCACTGTTAAAACAATGGTAAATATTTACCTCAATTTATGCTATTTATTTTGTATCTACAACTCACTAGAACGTGAACTTTTTTTATGTTGATGGATTGTTATTTTATTCATTTCTTTATATGTGGTGTTGAGAATTGAACTCAGTACCTTGCACATGCTAGGCAAGAGCTCTACCACTGAGCCACAACCAGCCCCTAGAATTTGAACATTTTAAGGGCAATATCTTTGTTATTTTTTTCCAACTGCTTATTCCAAGATCTGAAGCAGCATTCTAGCCTCATGAGCAGTTTAAAAACTTGAGAAATTAAGTAAGATTCCTACTTTTGATTTTAAATTAACAATAATGAATGATCAATAAAGGATAATCAATAATAAATAATAAAAGATAATCACCTTTTAAATAGTCTTGTTTATAAAAATGAATGTTTTTTAAAATCAAAGCCCCCAAATTTCCAAATATGGTGTCCTCCAAATATGGAGGCTCAGTTAAACAAAATATGGTATATTACAGAATATACACTAGAATATGCAGTCATTAAATTACTACTTTGATATCCATGTATAGACACGGTTAAACATATAATAATATACTGATAACATATATTATAAAAGAAAATTCAGAATGATTTTAATTTTGAATAAATATGTGTATCTTCCATGTTGGTCTGAGAGGATAGATTGCAGCCATTAATGGTGGTGTTGGGGGGAGGGGGGATATGTTTTTATTTGCCTGATTTGTATTTTGTAGATTTCTTTTAAAATAATAATGATGTAGTACTTTTATAATAGGGTAAATCAAAATTATTACGTTTGAACTGATATTTCAGAATTGTTACTATTATGAGTAAAAGATTTTTGGAAGTGTGAATTATATTTAATATCCTTATGTGTTCAGGATAATATACATACAAAGTTCTATTCATAACTTGTTTTGAGTATCTTGCATTAACAAGCAGGGATTAATTTATGATCAAAATATGCTTCTAAAATAATCTCTCTGGGGTCATTTCAGTTGTAGAATCTAAACATATAGAAGCTGTCTGATTGACAAATGTCTTTAACATATTCTGCTGACAAGATAATTAAAGGTATGTCATGCAATTAGTTCAATATTTTTATCTTGGAAATTTTAATTAAACTAATCCCGCCCCTTTCTCTTTAGGCTGTACTCCTTTGGCAGCAATGTAGTACCCAGTTCTGGTGAACAAAAGAAGGGGAAATTCCCAATCTGGCCAGAATGGAGTGAAGCTGACATCAATGCAGAAAAGTGGGATGCAGGCAAAAGTGGAAAAGAAAAGGACAAGACAGGGAAAAGCCCTGTGTTCGTAAGTAGGTTTACCAGTGATTAGACAGATCCTCTTTGGGTTTTTAGTTTTAGAATGGAATAAGATCTGTTAACAGGAAAGGTATTCATTCTTCTTCTCCACAGTCTCCATTCCAAAGAGAAATTTTGTCTTTGTCAACCTGGTCTCCCTTATCTCTTTGTTCTTCCAAGCCTTAGTCTTGAGCTTAGGTAAATCACTTTGGGGTAAGTGGGAGGAATGAGATATGATTGGAGTCCTAATAAAATAAAGGGAAATGAAGAGAGAGAAAGAGACAGAGAGAGAGAAAGAGAGAGAGAGAGAGAGAGAGAGAGAGAGAGAGAGA